TTTTGCTTTCAACGCCGCGATAGAAGAAGGTAACGCCGTGTAAGCCGCGCGCACGTTATTCGATCTCCCAAAGTATAAAAAGTTTACGCCACTTTTGGCCGTTCTTTTGGATCTCGACTTCTCGATACGAATCGAAGATCGCTGCAAGAGCGCATTCTCCACACATCGTGCATCTGGACGAAGCCGGCGCGCGTCGTTATTATTGATTTTTTTCACATCGGATCGAATTGTCTCGGACAGGAAGCTCGGGTTCCGTGGACGGTATCGGAGCTGCAGCTAACCAATCACGGCGACGATCGTCAATTATGCCGACAATGTCAATTAAATTAGACTTGTCGACATTGCCGATTACTCGTAGAAATGCATAAAGCGATCGCCTACCGGCCGCCTTCGGACAGACGATAAAGTGCGAATTAATTCAGCGTTAATTCAACGTTTGCACGCGCAGCGGCGAATCGCCGTGAGCGCGAGAAACGCGAGCTTAGCGGGGCTCTAAAACTTCATTAACGTCAAAATCGAGCGGGTAGTTTTACGAAAGCGCAATTACCACAGAGACGGAGTTGCCATTCGGCCATTCGGCGAATTATTTCTTTCAAAATAAAAAAAAGAACTCTCTCGCGGGGACGAAAACTCGACACGCGTGAACTCGCATCTTGAAAAATTTCCGTCGACAGATCGATTTACTTTCCGGCGAGACGATACGCCGAATAACAATCGCGAGGGACGAATTCGAAAAGCAACTCGACCCCGTGTCGTGTTGATGGATGACACCAAATTAGCTAGATTTCGATCGGAGATGATCGGGTTAAGCAACGGTGCCGGGACACGCATTTCAGCGCCTTAGCTCTCTCGCCGAATCTCTGACTCTTTCGCAGGCCGATCATTCTGCAGGGCGGAGGGGGCGGGGGGTTGCCGGAGTCTGATATGGATGCGGAGAAGCTAAGTAAAAGGGACACGTTGAAACGTAAAAGAGAGAAAGAGGAAGATATGTACACGCACGCATGCACTCACTCGCTCGCACGATCGCATGAAGGGGAAGAGAAGGAAGAAATAAAGGGGAGAAGGGGGAGGACATGTACGAAGCGGGAGATAGAGAGAAAGAAGAAAAGATCGAGCGAGAGAAAAGGGGGGAGGGAAGGGCAGGAAGGGGAAGAGGAGGAGGAGGAGGAGGAGGAGGAGGAGGAGGGGGAAGAAAGCCTGGTGTAATGGAGGAACCAGTTTGCGGGTCAGTGCTCCGCATCAGAGCGAGAGGCGCTTCAGCCTCTAGACGCGCGGACGATGCCACCGGGCGAAAGAAGGACGGGGACGGGAGAGACCCTGTGGGTCCCGTGAAGGACGTAAAGGAGGAAGGAAGGGCCCGCGAGATAGATAGAGGAATCAAACGCTCGGAGAACACTCGGCGAATCCGAGATAGGCGACGTTTCGTTTCGCTTCACCTCGTAGGTAGCTCCCCGCTTCGAGTTCGAAGCGATGAAAGAAAACGACGGAAGCGATCGAGCTGGCCGTGTTATCTTCTCTGGCGGAAGAGCCATCCGCCATGTCCTCCCGATGGAGATATTCGCTCTCGTCGTCGGCCCGAGTCTTTAGACATACTCGACAGAGACTCTGTGTTCTCGAGAACACACTCACTGAACAATCACCGTATGATCTCTTTCTCACGGTTATCGGCAAGCGACAAATATAAATCGAAAAAAAATACGCATTTGCCCGAAATAACGACGGGGAACTTTGCGGCTTCTTGCGTCACGTGTTAGGAGGAGGAATAATCCAGTTGATGTGAGGAGTATCGTTTGAGTACCAAATACATCGACGCTCCTCTCGCGTAGAAAACACGAGGAAACGGTCGATCCTTTTCGAAAATGTACTCCAGTTTTCAATGCACATGAAACTGGTTCTATTCGCCGGGCGTGCAGATGCACATCGGATTAGCACCTCGGCTCCGTATCCCTTAGCGCATGAATAGCACGGTAAAAACAATTCGACGAGCATGACCGAAGGCGCAGTCTCGGGAGATGGTGAGCCCGTGATAAAACACATGAGTTATGCGCGCGTGTGCGGCTGCCTTCATATTCCTACGCGAAGAAAGCGAGTATTCGAAAACCCGTAAGATATTGCCCGCATTGTCACGCGCGACACACGGCCAGCATACGAACGTACCTCGTTAGATCCGGCGGCGGCGGCGGCGGCGGCCGTCCACGACGGATAAAGCCGACCGGATTGGCTACGCGCCGTCGGTCAGTCGATTGAATTTTGCTATTTGAATTTAACTCGAGCGCGAAAGAAACCGCGATTAATACCGTTCAACGCCGTAGTGCTCACCAATGACACCGGCGGCACCGTCACGTGATGTCATCGTGATAAAAGTGCCAATTCGCGGACACGTACCTAGTTCTGGACGTTACTTTGGTTTTAGTCTTTAAATACGAATATTTATTTTCGACATAGATGCTAAGTGAACACTGTTACCACTGGAGCACAAGCAGTCACAGAAAATCATCACTACAATCAACAATTACGGCGTTTATAACTAAGAGATGAAGGAAAATCGACGCAAACTCATCCTACTTCACAACAACGCCAGGCCACATGTATCTTTAGTAACTCGATTGTCAGTTGAGCTTTTTTGTATAATTAATAGACGCGGCACTCGGTGTGTTAAATAAACGCGCTCTCGACGTCGAGATGAAACTCGTTTTTATACGTCCAGCAGAGATTACGAGGTGATCACATTTGACACCTAAAAATTGCTGGTCGATCAATCAAGTCATAATATGAAATTTCAATAACAAGCTGCGAGCTAGGACGAAAACGAATAACGCACCGCCATTTGCCCATTGCATCAATCTTATGAGCGCTACATGTCTCTTTCACATCGGGAACGCTCCCCCAAGAG